ATGAGCTGCTTTCCTTCTGTCTATATCAGCCTGGGGTACGGGAGGGCACGGGAGGGAAGGGGCGGGGGGAAGGGCGGGGCGGGGGGGTTGGAAAATAGGGAGCAGCAAAGCTTAGGCGGCAGGTCGTGTGCGTCCATGGGCCACTGATCCCCGTTATGAGCTGCCTCGTCTCGCTATATCAGCCTGGGGATAGGTGGGAGGGGCGGGGACGGAGGGTTGGGGGATCAGTCGTAGTAGCAACGGCAGGTCGTGTGCGTCAATGGGCCACTGGTCCCCGTTATGAGCTGCTTTCCTTCTGTCTATATCAGTCTGGTGGGACGGGAGAGGAATGGAAGGGAGGGGAGGGGAGGGAAATTGGGAACGGAAGAGTGGGAGAATGGAGAGCAGCAAAGCAGCAGTGCATCCATGGTGAGGTGATCCCCGTTATGGGCTGCTTTCCTTCTGTCATAATAGCCTGCGGAGAGGTGGGTGAGATGGGAGCGGGCATCAGCACAGACAGCAGCAGCAAGGCCACGTCGTACACGTCCATGGGCCATTGATCCCCGTTATGAGCTGCCTTCCTACATGTACGATCTGCCGTCGTACACGTCCATGGGCCATTGATCCCCGTTATAGCCTGCCTTTCTACGGACTCGCCTGGGAGTACGGGTAACGTGAGTGAGAGGATATGGTTTTTGGGATGAAAGAAGCACACAGCTCACTGCACGGAAGCAGCGGCGTTTCAATTCACAGAAACGCGGCGTTTCAAACGGCTCCAGGCAAACGGATTTGTCTTAACCTCTGAAAAGGCCGCATTGCGTTAGTGGGCCGCAGTCGTCTCGCCCACAGTAAGCTGTTCAGTTAAACTATCATTCCGTCTTTATCACGTACCCAGTAAGCAGCCTCGGCTCGGCACAGCGACCACGCAATGGCAACGCCATTAACGAGTTCGGCTTGTAACGAGGATGCAGCAGGATCGGTCGGGCTTCGAGGGGCCTCAAAATTCCATGGCGAAGCGCCATCGGAAACGGCATCGGAAGCGGCAACGTCGGTGGAAAGCGTTTCGATTGGCTGGAATATTAGCAGCAGCGGTGCGCCGAGCAAGAGAATGGCGAGCGTGACGATTACATGCGGCTTTAATTTCTCAAAAAGCTTCTCGTTTTGGTGCCAGAAGTCGGAGGACGAGCCGCCGCGGACTACGATGTACGACATGGCGGTCCGTGGCTTCGCGAAATGAGACAAAGTGACGGAAAGCTACGAATTTGAGAGAGACTAGTAGGGCAGATGACGAGCAACAAATACGGTAGCCGGTAAATGGACACCTGCTCAGAAGACTTCGAACGGATACGGACCGCCTGATTCCTCAGAAAAATGGTACGGCATTCTGATGATCTAGACCGACTGGATAGTATATAACGCGATATTGTGATCTATCACTACTAATGCCACCGATATTGTGAAGATAGAAATGAAAGCCATGACGAGGTGCGTGCGGAACGGCGTAACGACGCGACGGACAGAAAATAACTACTAGCCACAGTCGCTGTTGTTCAGTGTGGGGCTCCTTTGGATTGCCAGCGCGCAACCGACAATGAGAGAAACATCGTGTTATCCTCGTTACACGATATGCGTCAGTGGTTTGAAGTGGGTCGATCAAGCGATATGATTATGTAGGGGATGTCCTAGTGCGGTCGCTTGTTGCGAAGTTGGTCGTCTCGTTTGTTACAAACAGAAATGTCTTCGCTGAGTTCCCCCCACCCACCCTTCCCCCTTTCAAGTCCCGCGCGCCCCCCTTCAGTCAAGCAGCACCCCCATCCCCACCGAAATCCCCTCCCCTCCCCTCTTGCCCGCCGCCTCTTCCAGCCACGCCACCAAACCTCTAACCCATCCCACCCCACTCCACCCCACTCCACGCCACCTCACCCCAGCAAGGCATCACCATGCCATGCAAGCCAAGCCAAAGCCACTCGCACCTTCCCTCCCAGCCTTTACCCCCACGGAATTCCTCTCACACAAACCAACTCAAAACTCCCAAACTCCCAAACTCCCTTGCTCCTCTCCTAGACTCCTAGCAGCCCAGCCCCCCTTCCCAAGTCCCTCGCTTCTTGTGTGTAGCGTGATAGCCTTGCGTCGCAAGTGGAAACCATCAGAAATGAGAAAAAAAATATCGTCTGACACTCATCTGTGAGAAGGAAAAAAAACAGACGAAGGGGGATGCTTTTTGTCTGAACGTAGCACCCCCCCTCCGCTGGCACCGCCGCGCTGGCTTCCTCACCGTCAGAGTAGCGAAATGATTCGAACCGCAGCAAGCGCCGCTGGCTTCCCCACCGTCCTTCGTAAAAACATTGCAGCTTCTTTGATGGTAGATGCGCCACGCCACGCACGAGTAATAGTTCGCCGGGTGCGGCGGCTTCAGCCATTACCGTCGCGGCAGTGCCACTCGTTCCGATCCGATCCGAACCCCGTTGCCGCAGCCGTTCTCCTATGATCCAAACCAACCAAACCCTTCTCCCGAGGGTTTCCGAGACCTTGTGCTTGCCGAGGTAGGGAAAGCCCGGAGCCCGGCCGTTCGATTTGGGTTAGAACGAGTATTTAGTTTCTCTCATGCGTCATTCTCTCAGCGTCACTTTTTACAAGCCACCTTCCTGTGTTGTAGTTCAACCAATCATGGAGCGCCCCGCAGTTCTCATCCTGCTATGTAAGCACTGCCGTTTCTAGTACTATTGTCACTTGGTCGTTCTTCTCTCGTCCCTTCCTCCGAGTCGAGTCGACTCCCTCCACTGCTCTTCTCCCTTCCGCATGGATTGGCAGCTCCCGTGTCAACGCACGCCCCTCATCCTGACGACGATCATGCTCTGCTCTGCTCTGCTCCGCCCTGCCCTGCCCTCCCCGCCAGGTGCGGCGATCTTCACGGCTGCAACATCGGCGGCATCACCCCTCGCGCCAATTCGAGTCGAAGGAGTCCTCCCACGCGACGGCAACGTTTCTACAGCCGCATCTGCCGCATCTGCCGCCGCATCTGTCGCATCTGCCGCTCATGCGACGCCTCTCGGCGTGTGGAAAGGGAAGACTGTCGGTGAGTGTCTCAGACCTGTGTCATAACCCTGTCGCAATATAAAACATCTTTGTTTCACTATTTCACACTATTTTTCAGCTAGGGCGTTAGTCCTTTCGCTATAGGCGTACTAGTAGTAGTACCATTAGCAACGCAAGGCGCGTTTTGAGTCGACTCTAAACACTACAGACGTACGTACTACTAGGAGTACTGCTACTAGCAACACAAGGCGCGCTGAGCTGCAGCCGCAGTGCCTGCCAGCCAGGGTTTCACAGTAACGAATGTGTCGCTCGCACGCTTCACTTCACGGTAGCATTGATGCTGGCTGCATGTGTTTCCGCGTGTGGTCCCATCCCATGATGATATGCCCAGAGAGCGTACGATTCTGGCAACGTACAGTGCGCCACTGTGTTTTTAAGTCGACTCAAAAAAAGCATGTGTTTCCGCCCGCTTGTGTTCTCACGATGATCTGCCCCCTGAGCGATTCTGGTAACGTACGGTGTGCACCACTGCGATCCATCGCATCGCAGGGCTAGCCACCCCATGCTAGCCAACCCAGGCTAGCCACCCCAGGCTAGCCACCCCAGGCTAGCCACCCCAGGCTAGCCACCCCAGGCTAGCCACCCCAGGCTAGCCACCCCAGGCTAGCCACCCCAGGCTAGCCACCCCAGGCTAACCACCCCAGGCTAGCCACCCCAGGCTAGCCACCCCAGGCTAGCCACCCCAGGCTAGCCACCCCAGGCTAGCCACCCCAGGCTAGCCACCCCAGGCTAGCCACCCCAGGCTAGCCACCCCAGGCTAGCCACCCCAGGCTAGCCACCCCAGGCTAGCCACCCCAGGCTAGCCACCCCAGGCTAGCCACCCCAGGCTAGCCACCCCAGGCTAGCCACCCCAGGCTAGCCACCCCAGGCTAGCCACCCCAGGCTAGCCACCCAAGGCTAGCCACCCCAGGCTAGCCACCCCAGGCTAGCCACCCCATGGGCTAGCTACCTCAGGGCAACCTCAAGCCGTCAAAGGGAGGCTAGGCTATTTACCTCAGGGCAACTCCGCTCCTTTTATTCTATGTTGGACTATACGCTCAGACCCTAAAGCGTACAGCGTTTATACGCTTGCGTATATACCCAAAACGCTATACGCTAGCTAGCTAATACGCTATACGCACTCAGAATGCTTTTGGGGCTGCCCGGGAAAAAAATCGTGAGTATACGGAAAAATGCGGATTCTTCTGGTGAGCATTTCGCCGAAGTCGAAATGCAATTCGGCGGCCTAGGGAAGCGGGAATGTGCCTTGGAAGTTTTCTGGTAGTTCCAATTTGAACTTTCGATTTGTACCGCATTGAAACCCATCCTATCTACAAACTCCAACCTGTCAAAAAATACCCCCAACCACCTCACGCTCACGCTACTTACCAGCCAGCCAGCCCAACGGCACTCCTCATCTCTAGTTTACATTCCCGCTTCCCAGCAGAGTTCCTTCCGATACCTACTTCTCCTTCTAGCGATCTACTCCACATCCCACCCCACCCACCATTCAGACTCTGGAAAATGCTAGGGAAGTCTTAGTGAGAATAGGGTAGAGAGTTCCTACCTTCCCGGATGTTGAGCACGACGTATTTTTCACCCTGCCCAGAAAACTTTTTCCCCTGCCCGGAAAAGCGTATGCCCAATCTTACCCTTAAGCGTATCGCGTATACACGTTAGCGTATATACGATACGCGTTTATACGCTGAACGCGTATAATCCATCATAGCTTTTATTGCCTCCCCATGCGCCCGCCCTTCCCTCCGTGCCATCCCCATTATCTCAGTAAAATACGCGGCCAAGTTGCGTCTTCCTCACCTCATTACTGATCCTTTTACTGCACCCCCATGCGCCCCTTTCCCTACGTGCCATCCCCATTATCTCAGTAAAATACGTGGCCAAGCTGCATCCGACAAAGATCAACGGGAAATTAGTCGGAGACAAAGGGGCATCGGGGTCAGTCGTTTTGAAAGCCCTCCGGTACGTGTCTGAGTGATTTCAGTGTGCTATTTCAGTGTGCTTTTTCAGTCTATCGGTGTGATCTTCGGTTAATTTTCGTCTATTGGTGCTAGTATTGCAACATACAGTCAGCGATGCAGTTAGCGATTAAGCCAGCGATTGAACCAGCGCGAAAACATACCAGGTTGTGCCCTTTCTTGCTCCTCCCCCTTCATCCTCCCCAAATTCCACTTCTCCCTCCCCTGTCCCACCTCCTCCCCCTCCCCTGTGTCTCCTGTCCCACCTCCCCCCTCCCCTTTCTTGCCTCTTTCAATGCCCGACTACCAGATACTCTTCAGGGGCGTATGCTAACATCTGGGATGTTCACGTCCTTACTTTTGAGTCGACTCAAAAACCCACCTTCGCGATTGCCTCTTTCCATGCCCTATTACTTCCTATCACCAGATACTCTTCAGGGGCGTATGCTAACATCTGGGAAATTCACGTCCTTAACATACCATCTGGCGGGAAGGCCCCTTACGCAAAATTTGGAAAATCCTGTACTCCCGCCGACGACGACGTGGGTTTGCCGACATCTTGGGTGAACGTCACGAAGAATGGCAAGATGGCTCGCCGCAACCATTACAGCTTCGCGATCAAACTGGTTTTCGGGGCACATACTTTGGCGGAAGTGCGGAGAGCGTTGGCTGCTACCATGTCGGGTGGGAGTTTCCTGAGAGCTGGCCATTCGAAAAACGATAGGGCGCTCTGTGGAAAGATCACCAAGGTGGTGTAACAAGTGGCTCATCTCATCTGGTGTAGTTTTACGTTTTTATTGGCTCATGTTATATCGGGGACAGGGATGCTGTTGGAAACAATTGATTTAGCGCCTCTGTCGTGTCGAAACACCAAGTCAGAAGCGAAGCGAAACACATCGAAGCATTAGCGAGTCAACCCTCGGAGGTTGAATAACTGCTGTAGGTTACGCGAAAGTCACAGGTCAGTGACCTTTGACCTGACAAGTACAGCACGATAGCAAGGACAAACAACTGACTCGCTATTGAGCAGTTGCCCAAGTCGTCACTGTATCGAACCGCAATAGCAACAGTAAAACGGTTATTAACTATAGCTCTTCGTATTCCTTGTACTCTTATAAAAGCCTGGATCTCTTTGTTTTAATCAATCTACTTTGCCCTCACATACCAGCGCAAGGTGGTTCACAAACTTCTCATTAAACGCTTCCGCTATTACATTGTCCTACTCAGAATTTAGTCCTGCAAAGATCCTAAGGGCTTTTCTCAGCCCAACAGATGCTACTTGAAAAGTCTTTTGGGTTAAAGCTTCTTTGCCACCTACGCTATTGCGGTCTCAATTCAAGCCAACCAAGTAATACACCTCGCCACCACACGGTGCTGCAGAGCTGTCACATGCATAATGTCGGGGAAGAGAAGAAAGGGAAGGGACAGCTCAGGAGGCGCCATGGAACATGGCAAGAGAGAGACTGCTGGATTGCCTCCCCGGAGAGAGATATGATGTTCGATTGTCCTACACCGCCGGAATAGATCGCGATAATGACCTACTAAATGCCATCGAGTTGACACATTCTATGAGGTGCTGCCGAGTGGCGGAACGACGTGGAGCGGACAGGAAATATTATTTCTCTCAACAATAAAACATTTAAATTGTTACGTGTGCAATTCAGCGAGAGATCGCGGATTTCCTTATCGAGGCAAACAATAACGGCGTATGGTCGAACCACGGGTTACTAGCTGAGGCCTGCGTGCAGCTCGGGTGCGATGTGCGATTGGGGTGGTTGGGCGAATCTCGCGAGGTGGTAATGGGAAAGAGAGGTCGCAGTATGTAATTGTGCGAGTAGGTCTCCTTACGAAGGTGCACTCGAGTTTGCCGACAAAGAATTCGTTCAGTTGGTCGCACGTTCGATTTCGCTTCAACCGAGCTGTTACCACGTTTTGATCGCGGAAATTCGCGTAATCTCGCGGAAAATCGCAATTCGGTCGCCTGTTGTGAACTGGTTGATGTTACAACGAGGGCTGACGTCCCTCAGTTCCCCTCCCCCACCCTGCAACCTCATGCAAGCCAAGCCGACCGAGCCCCTCTTATCGGGAAAAGATCATACAGGGGCCGAACAGTGCCAGAGGGGTGATCGACCAGGGGCCGAGAGGCCTGGAACTTACCAAACCGCTGAGCAAGGAGGGATTAACAGAGGGAATTTGTTTATTGCACGTAATTCTGTTACTAGTGGCATGTACCGGCTCGCATTTTCGCTCGGGTGTCGTTTAGCGAGCCGAATCTACTGGGAACTCTTGGGCAGCGAAAAAAACTAAAACTCATAGGGAACCTGGATGTAATTTCAGGATGGATCAACCCTAGAAAAGAGGACCTTCCTGGTATTTAGGGTTGATGCCTCCCGAATCGCATCCGTTTCCGAATGGGTAATAATTTATTTTCCTGTGCGTTTCCGATCGGGTAGGTGATATGTATCACCCAGAATATATTATGTTGTTACGTACTCACGATTTGACACGCCCATTTTTTATTTGAGAAGGCGACGCGCGCGCTGTAGTAGACGGCGGTCAAAACCCTGAACACAAACTTCGGTTTGTTTTAGCAATTTCTTCTACTCATGGTTCGGCGCGTTCGCCGAGTCGTTTGGTCAGCTCCGGGTTGAAATCTTACGGTCGAGATTTTCCGGCCCTACTTTGATCATCCTCTGGCACTGCTCGGCCCCAATATGATATTTTCCCCCTCTTATCCGCCCCCACTTCCTATTCCAGCCAGCCCTGTAGCCGCCCCCGTGCAAGCCAACTCCCTCCCTCACACTTCACTGCCTCTTCCAACCAGCCCAGCAGCAGCAGGCACCCCAACTAACCCCTCACCAAAGCCAATTTCATCCCTCACCGCCTCTTCCAACTAACCCGTCACCCTAGCCAACCCAACCTGTCCGTAATAACCACTAAACTCGTCTCGCTCACCTCACCTATTTGCGCAAGTCTCACCCAACTCCCTCGTTCCTCGTTCCTTCTTAGCCCCACCTCACTTAATTAGTCCCTCGCTTCTCGTTCTACAGTGAACGAAATAATTGTCCATATGTTCATGTTTCAAGACATGAACGGGCATTAGTGGCCATGGTGATTAAGCCTTAATAACTGGACCACATGAGGTTAAAGCCTGAAGGGTTGTACATCTAAACACGCTGCATGTTGGCCATAAACTCGGTTAAACAAGCAGCGAATATAGAAATAGGCAAATACTAGCATAAGGACAGTTTTTTACAATTACAGTCACACATGCAAAGCAAGCAGAATCTAGTACTTGGTCCAGCGACCCTTGGCCTTGAGCACAGCCCGCACACGCCTAGGCATGCTGTCGATCAACTCACTGCACCAAGCCGCAGGGATTTTCTCCCATTCCACTTGTACTCTGTCCCATAGCTCGAGAATGCCTGCAGGGGGGTGGGGGTAAGCAAGCAGCTGCTTCTTCAAGTAAACCCACAGATGTTCTATGGGGTTGAGGTCCGGACTAGATGCTGGCCATGGGAGCACAGAGTACGGCTGCTCGGCAAGGTAAATTTTAACCATCTTGCATGTATGCTTCGGGTCATTGTCATGCTGGAACACAACGGTCTCGGGATCAAACTCGTAATGCTCAATAGTCTGCTGCAGCTCATCCTGCAGGATTGAATGGTACAACTCGCCGTTCATTCTTCCCTCTATCTTGCACATGAAACCCGCGCCGTTGTATGTCATGCACCCCCAAATCATGATGGAGCCGCCGCCATGTTTGACGGTCTGTTTCACATGGTGCGGCTCCATGTGACAGTCCTCCCTAATCCAGGCCCAACTACGGCCGTCGCTACTAAACCGGCAGATCTTCGTTTTGTCGCTCCACACCACACGTTTCCAGTCGTCGATCGTCCAGTGCTGATGGTCCTTGGCCCACTGTCTGCGGTCCTTGACATTTTTCGCCGATAATCTAGGCTTCGACGGCTTTTCTACCGCCCTAACTCTGTGCCGCTTGGGAGTGTTTCGCACGGTGGCACCCGTGACACTGATGCCGTGCGATGAGGAGATCATTCCCGCTGCCGCCTCGGCGGATTTCGATTCACCAGACACTATCGACCTTATAACTATCCTCGCAATTTGCTCTGGTAACTTGCGCGGCCGACCAGGTTTCGCCGGGGACGGCACTAGCTCGTCGAACGTTTTCGGACCGAGGTGGCGGAGGAGCTCGTCATGAACTGCAGACTTTGAAACTCCCAACTCCTGCGCAATTTGGCGGTAACTACGCCCCTCCGCAATTCGCTGCATGATCCGCTTCTGTTTCTCCTCGCTAAGGCGCTTCATGCTGCGGGGGTGTTAGCGCTACTCGTAAATCGTAGTATCCGCCCGTAATCTCCTGTGTACCTAATTAGTCTAGATCTAACAGCGCACCAAATAAGGAGCGGGACATTTCGGAAAGATTTGTCCGTGTGGGGTGTCGAGAGGGAAGAGCTGACTCGTTAGAGCAAGAGGTTTTGTGGGGGCTATAGGTAGCCTACACAAACTCGTAACAGTCAACCCTAAGCCCTGTATGCAATATGCTTATTACAAAACTTGTTAAGGCCCCAATTGGGTGGAAGTTATCATACATTTCGAATGCATAAGGACAATATTTTCGTTCAGTGTAGGTCTGACGGCGTGATGACGTGTGCTATAACGCGCCGCTTCCTCGAGTTGCAAGGATGCAACGTCAGATTTTTGGATTTTGGAAACTAAAAAATGTCGGAACGTTGTCAATCGTCTGGAGAAAATAACAAAGCAGACTCTGTTTGTCGGACAAAGGGGATGTTTTTCGGGCAGTTTGTCGGAATGAAGCGCCGCCCCGGCGCCACGCTCGCTTTCTCACGTCCAATAGTTTTGCAGCTTCCCCCGATGCAGCTGTGCGCCTCCCTCGACGCACAGCTGCACCGGGCCTCTCTCTCGACACGAGAGTCGAGACTCGACGCGATACATGTACGTACGCCGCCCCGCACGGGTGGTGTGGGTGGGCACCGGGCACGTGGTAAAAGAAGTGTTCTTTCTAAGGCGTCTCAAACCACACACCCTTTATCACGTGGCTCTGCAGCTTCTCCATCCACCCCTTGATACGCCGCCGCCCCGCACGAGTGGTGTGGGTGATAGCTTCACGGCTGCGGCGGCTTCAGCCATCGCCGCCGCAGAGCCACTCATATCCGAACCCAAACCGCCGAGGAATGCACGAACCCTATCCGAACTTCAAGGGAATCCTATCCCGGGATGGGAGGATAGGATCCCACATACAAAGTGCGCTCTCAGGTACCTATACCTTCAAGGGCGCGCCCCGCGGCGCGAATACTAGTAGCGTGCGGCTGCCGTCGCTGCAGTGTCACTCGTCCCAATTAACCCAGTGCCCTTGAACCCTCGGAATGAGAAGATGATAGAACCCAGCTTCAAGGGAGCGGCTTCATATTCCGAGGGTTTCCAAGAAACCTCCAAGGTAGGCTACCAGTGACGAGGGATGCCCGCTCTACAAAATTCGTGTTCATTCATTCCCTCCAAACTTCCCTCCGACAGTGGTGATCACGAGGTTACCTCCAACTAAGAAGCATGTTCACGCACCCGCCCCATGCCGCCGACTTTTGAGACGTCTCAAAAGAGCGGCGACCACGAGGTTACCTCCAACTACTGTAACAAACATGTTCACGCACCCGCCCCGTGCCGCAGTGGTTGCAGAGCAAGAATAGATTCCCTGCTTCATGCATCGGAGCTGCTCAAGGCT